TCTAAAATATGATTTCACTTTTTCTTAAAAATAATTAATTTAAAAATTAATTTAAAAATAATTAATTAAAAAATTTTAAAAATTGCCATCTGAAAGGAACATAAATCTAATTAGATTTCGTAGATCCAATAATCTTATTATCTCTTGAAGATAAAAGTATATATATCATTGTATGTTTATGTAAATGTAAAAGGAAATATTTCTTTTATTTTTGTGCCAATTTAAATATTAACTTTTCAGCTCTATATTATACTTTATAATACTTATAATATTTATGATAGGCAATTATAATACAATACATGATATATTATATTTAGAATAAATTTAATTTTATTATTAAATTATTTATGTCATTTTGACAATGAATTTTCTAAATAAATTAACGTAGGAAATGATAATATATTCTATGTTATAATCAACTTTGATTTTCCTAGATTTTAATTATGTAGTTTTGATTTCAATATAGATTATGATGTACTAATTCTTTAAATCATATGTATATTTATGATAATTTTTCAATGATTTTTAATTGACATAATATTGTTACGAAGTATGATTAATTTATATATTCTAACATTGTATATATATTCAAGAAATATACATAAATATAAAATATAATTAGTAATTATTTTTTTACTTTCAGCTTTGATTTGTAATTTTTTCATTAACATGTTTTTAAATACGATTCGCTATTGTTTAAAAAATATAAAAACACGTAAGAATTAAATCTTAAAATTAAAGTTCCATAAAAAACTGACTTTTAATTTAGTTATCTACAATAAAATAAAAAAATAATAAAAAATATCATATAATCAAAAATATTAAAATACATATAATTTTTTCAGAAACACAATATATTTATAAAATGAATTATTCTAATATTAAAAATTTTGATAAATATAAAACTTTAACAATATCTGTACCAAAAGAATTTGTTTTTATGATACAGTTAAATAGATCTGAAAAACTTAATGCATTAAATGATGTTATGTGGAAGTATGTATTTACATTAAATTTTAATTTAAATTTATTATATTTGAAATTTAATATTATTAAATTTTTAATTTAATGATTATACAGAGAATTTAAAATTTGTTTTAATGAATTAGCTACAGAATCAGAATGTAGAGTAATAATTCTGTCAGGTATTGGTAAAGCATTTTGTGCAGGTATATTATATTTTATTTTATAAATATTATATATAATAAAAAAAAAATTAAATATTATTTATATTATTATTAAAATTTTATAGGTATTGATGTGCAAAATATAATGAAACTTAGTCAAGATTTAATAAAACATGAAGATATTGCACGAAAATGCAAGATTTTACGATTAAAGATAAAAGAATATCAAGAGAGTTTTGATGCAATAGAAAAAGTTGTATATTACAATTTTTTTTAAATATAATACTATTTACTATATTATTTAAATTAAGATTTAATTATTTTGTATATTTATTATTATTTTAATTTTTTTTTTTAAAATTACTTTTTAGTGTCCAAAACCAGTAATTGCAGCTGTACATGGTGCATGTATTGGAGCTGGTATAGATATGATATCTGCAGCAGATATACGTTATTGTTCTTCAGATGCATGGTTTCAAATAAAAGAAGTTGATTTTGGTATGGCTGCTGATGTTGGTACATTGCAAAGATTTTCCAAAATTATAGGTTCTGACAGTTTAATAAGAGAACTTGTATATACTGCAAGAAAATTTTCAGCTGTTGAAGCTGCACAACAAGGTTTTGTGAGTTGTTTATTTGATAATCAAGAAAGGTAAAAAATATATTTTTTTTTCTAAATAATAAAAAAAGAATTTTTATTTTTGTAATTTTTCTATTTTTAAGAATTATTGAATTAAAAACATACCTTTAATTTTTTAGTTTATTAAATGGTTCAATAAAGCTTGCAGAAAAAATAGCAAGTAAAAGTCCAGTTGCAATACAGGGTTCAAAATTAAGTTTAATTTATTCAAGAGATCATACTGTTCAAGAAGGTTTGGACCATATTGTAAGTTTTAATATTTTTCCACCTATAAAAAATTTAATAATTTTTTATACACATATTTATATATCTTTTTTAAATTATATTTTAATAGGCCATGTATAATCAGAGTATGCTTCTAAGTGAAGATTTTATAAATGCAGCTATGTCACAAGCCACTAAAAGTGATCCTCCAATATTTTCTAAATTGTAACATTGAAATTTTATGATATATATATAATTTGATATATATATATATTTATAATATGAAATTATATGAATTTATATTTTATATATATAATAATAATATTATTCTTTTAGAAAAAAACTAAGAAATATTTTATAATTTACTTTTATAATTATTTTAATACTAACATATTTTTTGTTGATTATATATTTTTTTAAATAAATTGTATATTAAAAAAATGACTGTTAAGTCAATAAAAGATTCTCCAGTCTATGTTTTTTAGGAATAGCTTCTAATTTAATAGCATCCATTATATTATTAATGAAATATATTGATCTCATCATATAAACTGCATATTAAAAATTATTGATAAGTAAGTAAAAGACTATCCAATTTAGGTTTTTTAGGCATAGCTTCTAATCTAGCAGCCTCCATTGCATCAACAATGGAATATACATTCAATGGTTCAGGTATTTTTACCTATAAGCAATGTATAAAAATATTCTATAGATTTCAATTTAATTTTAATTATATGTAAATTAATTATTGTGATAATTATTTTATAATAAAATATGCATATAAAATATATTTGCATAAAAGCCATAAAATATATTATAATATATTATCTATTATATATACTAATATAAAATATCAATACATACAAGTAATAAATTAATATAATGTTCATAATTAATTTGTTTTGTTTCGGGATCACATGCAATAGCCATCATGTTATTTATTTCTTCTATTGAAAATGGTTCTCCAATTTCCATCATTATTTTTTCTAAGTCTTCACGCATAATGTAACCTCGATGTTCAGGATCTAATAAATGGAATGCTTTTAATAAATCTTCTGGTTCTGCTGGCTTATATCTATATTAAAATGAAAAATTAAAAACAAATTCAAAATAAATATTCAAAAATGTAAATATCATAACTTATATCTTTTAATAAAATTCAAATTTATAAAAAGCTTACTTGTATTCACCAATAGCTTTGGACATATATTCTAAAAACTTTTTTAATGGTATACGATTAGTTACTACATCTTCCACTTGAACTTGTATTTCTTGTAATTCTGCTTCTGTGACAACACATCCTAATGTTCTAATAATAATTCCCAAATCTTTAACATCTATTTCATCACTTTTTGTAGTATCAAATATATCAAATACTTCACAAATTCTTTTTTCCAATATTGTTAGTTCTACTATTGGTGCTGCATGTAAAAAAAAAAGTTTTCTAATATAAAAATACATAAAAAATATATAATATAAAATCATAAAAATAGAGTATAAATTAACTTAAATAATATAATTAAATAATAATTGAATAATATAATTACACTGTGCCATTTATTTCTTATATGATATGATATAAATTATCAAACAATATATTGTATTAACAGTTGTAAAATATCATGTCAATGTAGTATTTGCTTTGTAGTATTTAAAATTGTTTAATCAATATATTGATAGAAAGTATATTGATTAAATTGAAAAGTATAATAATAATATAATACTTATAATATTTTGTTGATATTTGAATTTGTTGATATTTAAATGACTTATTACCTATTACTTCAGTCTTCGTTAATCGTCTTAAAGCGATGCTTTGTTTAATAGATAATCGACTTATCGATTTGTCTATTTTTTCCATTTTTTCCATTTTTAATTGTGTATTTTAAAGTTTAGTTTAAAATCGTAATAACTTATAGAATGAATATAAAAAAAATATTAGATATTTTAATCTTTATAAAAATTTATTGTCTAATTAATATATTTTTGTGACAAAAAATAACTCATGAATTTAGCAATTTAAAAAATCACTATATTCTTGATCTGTACAAAATTCATTTTAATATGATATACATACATATTTAAAATTTCAGCTATGTTTACAATAAACTTAAATTTCTAAAAATGTAGGTTTTATAAAAAATATAAATACAATTATAAGTATTATTATTTTAAATAGAAAAATATTCCCTTGATAAATACTTCATTAGATAGAAGAATCTTTAAAATGGAGTATAGATTTGAAATAATAAAAAGATATTTTTTTTAAAAATGAGCTGTTTGTCTATCTATCTCCGTCAGATCTTCTATTATTTCTTGTACACGTGTACCGATTTTTTTTGCTACATCTATTTTTTCATTGTTAGGTAAATATAGATAACGCCAAACTAAGTCACCATCAATTATACCTCTTGCAGGATTACCCTGAGTTCGAATGTGACTTTTATAAGTACTAAAAAAAAAAAATTATTACATTAAATATTTGTTATTTAAATTTTTATAAATAATTTCTTTATATTATATATAATTTCTTTATATTATAATTACCGATATGCTTTGGGATTTAAACCAGCAATATGACAAATATGTGTTACTAAGACATTTTGTAACATAAGTAATCTTCGGTATGTTTTTTCCGGTACAGGTAAAATGTAACCAAGATTGCCATCGAGCGATGCTAATATTATAAAAAATATCATAATTTTAAATTATAATAATATATTAAATATAATAAATTAAATAAGAAATTTTTTCATATACAATCATATTTAAATTGAACTCACCATACATTGTAACATGTCTTTTATCTGCATCAGAAAAATGCTTTTTATCATTCGCTGGATCCGAAATTCTACATCTTATACGGAAAAATGTATTTACTTTTTGACCAAGATGGAAATCGGCTTTCCTAATTAATTTTTGTCCTCCGAGACTTTCTCGTGATTCTGGTTGATACATAAATAAAGCTATATTACTTTCACCATCAGCAACAAGAAATCCTAAATTAGTATTGTCAATTAAATATTCAATAGTATAAACTTCAGCTGGTCTAAAATCCTATAAAAATTTTTTTTTAAATTTATTTTTTGTAAAAATAAAAGATAACAAAAAAAATTTTTACTTACTCTACTAACAAGAGATAATGTTCTATATTCCTCTTGAAATCTTAATAAACTAATAGATTTATATACATCAGCTATTAAAATTAAGCTTTTAATACTTAACATTTGATGGATATAAATTTGTGTATCTATGAAAGCAACTCCAACAAGATCATTATCTTTTAATTGCCAAATATAAATTTTTTGACCAACTGCTGAGACTAAAAAGCCAGATACTTGTGTAATTGCAGTTATGGGACCTTTTTGTTCTTTTGCATAAATTTGTTTAAATCTATTTTTTGTTAATGGTTGACCAGGTTCAGGTACAACTTCAATTATATCAAATATGAGTATCTATAAAATAAATTTTCAAATAAAATTAAATTTAATATAGAAAATTTAGAAATCAATTAGTGTAAATCACATTTTTTAAAAATCATTTATATTGTTCAAGAATCTCTTTATTATTTAAATAATTTTTTTAATAAATTAATTAAGTTAATATTTCATTAATTTAATAATGACTTAATTGATTTGCCAACTGAAAGTTTTAAGCAATAAAGAAATCTTTGAATAATTAAATCATTTTCAGAAAATGATTTACACTTTAGATTGGTTTCTAATTCTTCTATATATATTTGCAATTAATATATAAAAATAAAATTTACCCTTCCTCTGCTTGTAATATCTTCTCCATAATTATAATTTGTACCTAATACTATATAACCCTTTAAACCAGATCGTGTACCTTCATAAGCTAAGGAAACATTTTTTAAACAAGTTACATGTTCCCATTGATCAAGTTCAATTTTAGTATTAGGAATTGTTTCCCATGAAACAGGTGAAAACAATACTATTGAAAATTGTTCTTGTGAAGGATAAATAAATCTATCAGGTCGTTCTTCTTCTGTAAATTCCTAAAATATAATAAAAATATTATCTATCTAATAGTTTTAATTGTTATATTTATATTTATACCTTATCTTCACCATTAAATCTGTAATAACTTTTAAGTGGTTCAGCTATACTCGTTATGACACAATAAGTTTTACTTTCAAGATGATATGTAACAAAATGTGGTGTACATCGTAATGGTACTTTTCTAACAGGCCATGGAGCATCATATGATAAATGAGTTGGCAAAACACATATTCTTAATTCTTCCTAAAATTGAAATATAAAAAAATATAATTACATTTTAACTTAATTTATATACAAAAATAAATATAATGATAATAATTGTAATAATAAAAAATATTAATAAAAATAAAATATTAATATGAGTAATGATACCTTTCTATTAAAATATAGAAAACCTTGTGGACAATTTATGTTATTAAAAGGTGCAAATGAGGTAACTGGGCCATCAATACCCATTGGATGTGTACGTAATTCGCCACGTCCTGTGAGAAATATCCAATGCGGATAATCACTACAAATAAATACACCATTGTATCCAGCGATATTACTAAAATAGCGCATCATACAATGTCGAGTATCATTCATTGCAGGCATATCTTCATCCCTTGGTCTTGGTCTAGAAATAAATTGATAATTAAGAATCATGAAAATGAATATATATTATAATTTAAAAAAAATATATATACCTTAAGTGTCCTGGTATTATACCATGATCTAACTTTTTAAATCTTAATTTTAAATGACCTTTTGGATATCTATATGCTTGATAAATTTGAAGTTCAGAATCAAGTCGTACTAATAACATTGGCCTATTTCCATGATGACCTAATGCTACCATTAAAATTTCACGCACCTAATAATATATTTTTTAATAAATATAAAATAAAAAAAATATTAAATTTAACTTTACAATACCAACACTAATTTAATTAACTATTTATGATACCTGCATTTCAGGATTAGGAATTTCATTAACAGGCGTTGTTTGTAATGTCGTAGATTCCATGCTATCATGTAATACATATTGTCCGTATCCAAAATTACGAATAAGATAGGATAAGCGTAAATCAGGAAGAGAATAAATTTCCAGAGTTCCACTATCTCTATATACCAATAACCAATATGTTGGTTTTATTTCTTGTAAATGTTTTTGCCACCTAGAAAAATATTTAAATGTTATATTTTAAATATTCAATTAAATTAATTAATTAAATCGTTAAATATACCAAGGTGTTCTTTTAAATATTCCTTCAGATGATTTAGTATGTGATGGTGTAGGCATTTGAAAAGCTGGTGCATCACCATACAATAGATCATCTTCATTATCAATATTACCAACAATAGGTGGTTCTTCTATATTATGTTCTTCTTCAGGTACTTCATCTTCTACATTTTCAGGCAATTGTGTTGTAAATATTCCACTAACATCCCTATAAGCACATAGTGCTTCTATTTGAGGTCGCTATAATTCAATTAAAGTAAAAAAATTAATTAAATTAAAATACAATTGGAAATATATAAGATATTATATATAAGAATTATAGATATATCATAAAAAATTACAAATAATAAATTAGCTGTTTGAGCATGCAATCTTGCCGTTCCACGTCCTTCTCTAAGAGTTAATAACATAACTTGACCATCTTCAGAAAGTAATGTCACATAAGGATCTGCACAACTTGCATGGACAATTGGACATCCAAGATCAATTGGCATATGTTGAATCTATTTATGATATAAATATTCATATTTAGATTTTTATTCGAATATTATCACAACAATATTTTATTCACCTGTTCAATTCCTTGTAGAAGACGTACACCCATTTGAGTAACTTGAACTATATATCTATTTGCACCAAGATTTCCAGCAAATATTGTACTTCCCTGTGTACTGAATCCACTTTGATCTACTTCATTAATTTCCTGGCCAGTTTGTAATATCTAAATATATTTTAATATTAAATAATATATGTTTAATAATATTAAATAATATATACAATTAAAGATAAAAATATAATTATATAAACATATAATACCATTGTTGAATCTTCTTGACTTAGAATTAAAAAAGCATGACTTCCTTCTGCTTCAGGTCTTATTTGTTCATCATTATTTAACGTACCAATAACAGTCCACATATCTTCACATCCTGGTAATTCAAATGTAGTCACAACCTATTTTGAAATTAAACAATATCTTTACATATATATATATATATATATATATATATATATATA